ATCGGATGGAATTGAATTGTACTGAACATATTGAGACATAAAAGAAATGGCAAGGAAAAATAATAGAATGCCTACGACCATGTTTTCTATGATCCAGTATCGATGTTTTGCTCTCAACAATTTTTGATTGGAGAGAACTATCTAAAGTCGTTGCAAAGGCTGTCATTGACTCAAGCGATATGTACAGTGGCGCCTCCAACCACTGCACCACACGCGCCCTTAACCACAACTTTAATTATGTATAGAAAAGCTACGGACTTAGGGAGGATTTGTGTCTGACCTTTGAAGGTGATCTAGACGCCTCATTTTTCTCTTTATAGTGTTCGGTGTTTTATGGACAAATACAATCTGGTCACTTAGCCGATGAGTCACTGACTATGGTAACATGCTTGAAAGGTAGTGTTATGCACCGCAAAAAATATGCGTATTGATTGGCTTGTGAATATCGCGAAGATAATCAATATCTTTGTAATACATTTGGCTTTAAAGCTTCGTCGTTTTCTCAGTTTTCTCGCTTTGCTGTGTATGAATGTAGGTACAGGTATCTGTCCCTGAAAGTGAGGTTTTTTCGCTGGATGCGTGATTTGTGTGCTTTCTGTTGCCGCTTCTGTTGTGGTAGAATGTGAGCTTTTAACAATGCGTGTCGATTGCCGACGTAGCTTCTAGCAGCGGTCCAATGAATGTTATCGGCGCTAACTGTACAATCAAGTTCTCATCGATGTTTAGAGCTATGATCTAGCTATGTATCTGGTTTAGTGTTTAATGTATTGGTGTAGTTTTCCAGTAGAAACATACCAGTTAGTTTCGTCTTCATATCCACACACATTCACACGTAAATACATATCAAGACACACACGCAGAAAACACACCTACACCAGGCATGCGTACACATTTACATTCATTTTCCGATTCCTTTCTTCCAATATCAAGCAACACTGCATCCTTTGTAAAGAGGTACGAAGTGAGCTCATATTCAAAATGTCGAGCTGTAGAGAGATGACTAGGAAGAGAAGGAACAATATCTCCTCTGAGAAATGTCGGCTGAATTGAATAAAGACAGCTGGCCTGGAAATCGATATGCATTCTGCTTTACGTATTTTATCATTTTATTTTCTTCATATTTCATGTCACATTTCTTCCAGTTAACAATTTGTCATGTCAAAGATTTATTTGGCAAGAGAACTGTGAATAGGAAAGGGGCATAATGTAGGCTCTAAGCGTCTTGTGGTGAAGACGAGAACTTTGGCGATGTCGAGAAGTTGGGAACAAGTCTTTCCCACTGGAGGTGCGTGCTTGACAATGTTAAGTGGAGAAAATCCAAACTACACTAGCCACTTACAACCGTGCCTGGGTGGCTCGACGATTTGCTACACATTCAGGGTCATAGTCTATAGAATTTTCCAGCAAATTTCCTTTTCCGATATGTCGCGAGTGTATTTAATTCACTCCAGGCTTTTTTTAAACAAGCACTTTGTTTTCAATTAACTCTCAATTCAATTTTTCAATTAGTTACTATTTTTTTTCTTCGTAAAACTGACCTTCACGTTGAACGTAACGACGCCATGAGCGCACGACACACCAGCATCGACATCACTAACAACTTCCTTTTGCTTTTAATATAAGGAAAATTAGTCATTCATGTGGAAGAGCACCTCACAGAAGCTAAAGACGATTACGGTACTTACCATATAGTTACAGATTTTGCAGTGAAAATGTTTTGGTGAATAGTGGAAAAAAAGGAAAATGAAGTTAAACAGTGATAACCCAGTTATAAATGTTGAGCCATTGAATTCAGATGTGTGAACTGTGTGGGAAACACCATCATCGTCGTTCCAGGATGTCGTCGAAACTAAATGTGTCTATTCTACAACACCCGCACAAAGACCTATTCGACTAAACGACTTTCTTTTATCAATTGCGATATTCATGGGCGTGAACACCAAATAATTCTTGCTTTTATAAGGTCACAATGTTCGTTTGACATTGTCGGAATGATTCTTTCTAAGCAATAGCATTGCTCTAAAAGTTGTCGTTTTCTCATGAAACCTTCTCTAAGAACATCAATTGCGCTATTGATTTCAATCGAGCCAAAAAATGGGAAAAAGCAGAAAAAGTTCTCGGAAAAGTTCTCAGATTCGGTTTTTCTTCATTTATTATATGAGGTGACACCACATATGTCACACCGAAAAGATTTAAGCACTTATTGCATTTGGTTCATTTCTTCGCATACTGCATCTACAGAGATCTTCAAACTTTTCTTTTTGCGTGTTGGTTGGGCTGCTACGTGAGGATTTTTTTGTCTTCGTCACGGATGTCGTTCGTTGCTGGTAGAAGTCGATTATCCCTAGAACCTGAAGATAACCGCGTAATGACTTCCTGCTAAAAAAATAGAAAACCTCCTCAATGTTTAACGAAATGTACCGATTTTTTGGAAGTGTTTTTGAATTGATCTCTACTAATGAAAGTTTCGATGGTTGTAATCGGAATTTTTCGTATTGTTCTAGTTTTCACTTTATTCCAATTATTTTCTCAGTCGTCAATGCCTTTCACCATAAGGGTGTGTTCTCAAGCCGGTTAGTCGCGAGACTGCGTGATGCGTCGTCCACAGTGATGGATAGGTGGTTTAATGCTTACCAAAAGCGGCTTCATACTTATTCTGAGACGAAAGTAGAAGTCAACAAAACCGGTTTGACATATCTTTCCTATATACCTAGTTATATTCACACATACGACCTTGGAATAGGGAGGGTTACATCTTGGAGAAGAATCCACCCAAGAAGTGGTGTACATGTTGCAATGGTGCCAAAGAAACTATTTGTGGTTTCCGACGCGAACCATTTAAGTAATAAGTTTGACGTAATGCGAAAACTCTGCAAAGAGCTACCTGTATTCTTCGAGCAAACGGAACAAGTCGTATAGTTTTGACAGTCGAAAATGACACATCCACCATGAAGGCTGCCTACTGGTGTTCGTTCGGGATACTCGATCACGAACAGGATTAAATGTAGCTGTAAATATTGCCAAAAACAATGTAAGAGGTTATAGAAAAAAGCACAAAAGTCTAGTCTTTGAACAGGGCACTGCAATTCTTCGACCTGACGTAACCGGATTCCAGTACACCTACCGATACGCTTCTTGAATATGTCAGGAACGCGCTCATACGAGCCAGCAATTATTGCATTACGATGCTTGTTCTGCGAGCTGGCAGCAGGTTTTTTTTCGATGTCTCTTGGCTGGTGCACACTTATTTTCTGGGAATAAATGACTAGTGAACCATAGAGCCATATTTCTTTCTAGTGATGCGAATAAATCATACTCGCCATCGACCGATGAAAGTCTTCTTCAACGAGTCATTTTGAATGGTTACATTAACTTTCATCAAAATCCTTCAGTTGCGTTATGTCACGACAGGGTGTTTATTCACCAGTGAAATAACATCAACAAAAACTAAGTGGCGGCTTCATTTCTCAATTCTGTAGGTTCATTCTCGACTCAAGATGAGTTTCAGTAGCGAATCATGCACGACGTTTTTGTTTTTCTATCCTTCCCTTTGATTTAACGCCTCACGTACTCTAAAGGATCTTGAATGAGGCATGGTCATAAATGCCTTCAAGGTGTCTACAATCTCTACAACCCAGTTAGAGGTATAGAAATGCCAGAAATTGATCGACTTTTTGGAAGAAACTGGTTACAAGGTGGTTCAGTCTTCTTTGGATTCACAGTTCTGGACTTTCTGTGGTGACGACATAGAAAATGTCTTCGTGCGACTACCTAGTGAATTGAGAGAAGAAATAACTCATTCCAGTGGATCAATACTAAACAAATAAAAATGTGCTGAACGCTATCATCGTTGTGACTGTTCCCAGGATCGACTTTCTATTAACCTCGGCACTGGATTATAAATGCGACGTTTTCTTGTTAGGCAATCGCGATGTAGTCATAATGACACAGTCAACGATTCATTGGCAGATCATTTGACCCATGAAATCCAAACACCGCGGAAGGTTTTTAAACGTAAAAAACATAAAATAAACATAAAAAAGATAGAACTAGCTGAGAAACAGGCGAAACGAAGGACCCGCATGGTGTGGTGGTGAACGCGTTACACCCCGGAAAGGACAATAGCGCGTTCGTTTCCCACAGCAGACATTTGCGGTCCGGAGTTTTACAAATATCTCAGCATCATTGTGGTTGTTTCACAAACAATACTCTGCTAAGGCACTAAGTAAAAAGTCAATATTGTTTTTAAACATAGCTTGTTTTTTCAACAAAATGTATCAAAACTCTTTTCTAGAATTTCCGTGCTATCCTGAACCTCTTTCATATCTGACCTAAGAAGAAACGTTTCGGCAGTATCGCCTTCTTCAGAGCCTGGAAGGGTATACTGATATACAATCTACTAGGCCAAACGCATCAATAACACTTACACAAAGACGAAAAACTCTATGGTAATTACATGATCAACAGCTTCTCGAAAAACCCACCGCTTTTTCGTGACTTCCAACGAGGAAGTTTAGAACAGCTGATTATAGTCGCATATGGCTGATGACTGCACCATCCCACATCAGAAATTGATGCGAACATATGGGATCAGGTCGCGTATGGCCTCCGGGCATTCATCCCTGCTATTCATTGTAGGGTTTTTGGCATTGATCCAAAAAGCCTCAAGGAGTTTTCGCGCTGGTGTTTTAGTCTCCTGTGCAAGGATATTGACTTTTACTCCAAAATCGTCTCCGTTGTGCTTTTGTATCCTATACATGCCTAGTGGAGGTACTTTGTCTTAGTTTTCGTTTGCTATCTAGGTGTTCTTCTATACGGATACACAAAGGTCTGCCCGTTTCGCCAATACATTCATCTCCCCAATTACTACAAGAGATCAGGTATATCGTACCTGAACTTATGCAATCACTGTCTCTGCCGTAAGGACACCAAGTAATTAAAGGATTGGGAATCTTAGAGGTCATGAACGATACGCAGATTTACTACGTCTTCTTTATGAGCTAACGACTATTAACAACTAATAGGTTCTGTGTCTGCGGTGGAGCACTCGCCTGTCCGTCTCCAACACCAATATCGAGTACGTATTCTTCGGGCGGTATATTGTACTTGACATTGTTGATAGTGAACATCAGGTCAGGTTGACTCTTCATTGTCGAGCAGTCGACGGTGTAGAACTTGTTCAATGAGTCATAGTAAGCACGGGTCTGGTTAGCTACTGCTTCTATGATTTCGGTTGGTGCACCGATCCACGAAGTACCAGTGCTGGAAACTGCCTGCTGGTTAATCTGAAACTGGTTAATCTTCAAACAATACGCGTCATTTGATAGGGAAACTGACTCAGTAAGTATAGTCCTCTTTACTTTGCTCTAGTCATAAACCTGAATAGGGCTTTCTCTAGAATTTATTGTGAGCGGCGTTTCGGCTCGTTTGCCTTCTTCTTCGACTCGAATCGAGTGGAGCAGAGCACCGTACAAATTGCAGAAGCACCACGACGTTAGACAAGTCAAAAATCCATTAGAAACCCGTGCAAACATAAACTATTGTCATCTTCACTTATCGAATAAATGCAGAGATTAGAAGAAAACCGTTAAATCTCGCCCATCTCACCTGTGCGTTTTTGCTCTGCGAAAAGCTCCCAAGAGAGAAACCTTCAATAGTAAACTGTCAATGTACTTCTTTCGAGAGTGGGACGTAGTTAATTTCCCACTCAAAGTTAATGGCATCGATAGCACCGAATGTGATCCAACCGCCGTTCCAGACTTTTGTGGGTTCCTAAAAGCGATTTTTCTCAACCAACAATTTTGTTTCATGTGATAGACAGGCTTCAGTTCAACTATGACTAAATCTAATAGTTACGCGGTCTTTATTTCAGCCACCATAAAATCCATCAAAAAGCCCATTGAAATGAGGAATAAAAGATCCTATAAAAACTCTCTTAATACTGAACAACACGAAAAGCTAATCGACTTGGCTCGGCAAATAGCCATCTCCAATGCCTACGAAATAGTAACCTCACGAGATAAGTCTAGAAGGAGAGCAACGCGCCCACGCGAAGCGCTTGGCCAAAAGAAAATCCCGTTTATGTTGCCTTTTATAATCGATGAAGTAAGCGTAGCTATGAAACGATGCTTAAGAAGGGCAGGTCTAGAGGAATCGGTAGCGATAGTTGAAATACCACCGGCTACTCTACGTCGTCAATTAGTTCGTAACCGCCTGTATGACCGTCTGTGTAAAACAACAAATTGCGTAATTCGTCTTTACGACAAGGACAGTGACTGCATGGGTTCAGGCACGATATACCTGATCTCTTGTAACAATTTCGGAGATGAATATATTGGCGAAACAAGCAGACCTTTGTGTATCCGTATAAAAGAACACCTAGATGGCAAACGAAAACTAAGACGAAGCACCCCACTAGGCACGAATTGGATACAAAAGCATAGCGGAGACGATTTTGAAGTAAAGGTCAATATCCTTGCACAGGAGTCCAAAACACCAGCGCAAAAACTTCTTGAGGCTTTTTGGATAAATGCCAAAAACTCTACAATGAATAGCAGGGATGAATGCTCGGAGGTCATACGCGACCTGATCCCATATGTTCGCATCGATTTTTGATGTGGGATGGTGCAGTCGTCAACCACATGCGACTATAATCAGCTGTTCTAAACTTCCTCATTGGAAGTCACGAAAAAGCAGTGGGTTTTTCGAGAAGTTGTTGATCATGCAATTACCAAAGAGTTCTTCGTCTTTTTGTAAGTGTTATTGAAGCGTTTGGCCTAGTAGATTGTATATCAGTATACCCTTCCAGGCTCTGAAGAAGGCGACACTGCCGAAACGTCAGCTAGCGTTGTATTGTATTGTGTTTTTTATGGAAGTAAATGTACGCTGTTTAAAAACCTCGCGATTGCTGAACAAGAAAACGACTCATTCATATCCCAATGCCGAGGTTCATAGAAAGTCGATCCTGGGAACAAAATTTTAAAATTTCAAAAAAATTCAAACTTAAAAAAATTCAAATTTTTGAAATTTGCTCGGTCTCTGATGGGAAGGTCTATCATCATAACGATTTCCCGTGACTTTGCAGCAATTTGAAATCTTTTTTATTAAGGGAGAGCCACAGCTCTAAAATGTTCGCCATTAAAATGACGCTGAGAGAAATTTCTAGAACTGTAAAAAGTACGGCAGCCAAGAAATAAAATTGTCGTCCATACACATGGAGCACAACGTGGGTGGCTTAAGCTTAATCGTATCTCTGAAAAGAAGGGTAAAATTCCTATAGATTTCTTCCCTGAGTTATTGATGGCTTGCACGAAGTTCTCACAGAAATTGTTGAAAAAGAATTAGCGGTAAATTATTTTCTAGTTGTAATGGGAGTTTTTGTACTTACATCAATAAAAATCCATAGCGGTTGACGTGACTCACTAGAAGTGGTTAAAAATATCCCAAATAATTCGTTTACAGCAATCAGTTTTCCTTTGTTTGATTACACAAGCTTGCAGAACGTTTTTCGACAGTATTCGTCGTTGTATAGGCTCCGCTCATTGTCGTCCTTATGTTGACGCATGAATTTTTCCTCGTTTCATTGCTTTTTTAACGGAATTTTAGCACTTATCGTAGATTGACGAGTACTTTAAGGTGAGCTCTGATCAGCACACATTGGCACTTTATGTTGTTCCTCTGTTGTTTTTGTTGGTACTGCCGATGAAGATAGTGTTGAAAGCAGGGGATCAATTCGCACTCTTTCAACGTGTAGTAGTCGCAAGCGTCTTCAGTGTTGCTGGACTACTGAAATGTAACTTATGCATCTCTTCACTTTTTTAAAATTCTCCTTCTGTTTAAGCAGTTTGCCTTCTTCGTTTTATCTTTGGTGGATTTTTTAGACGAAGTGAAATAGCTGAGTCGAACAACTGACCAAAACATTTAAGCGTTGCTGATGTGTTTGATTGTTTGATTGCTTGCTTGGGTACAATTCCTATTTACTTTACTATGACACTTTAACAGCTCGTCTTCACTTATTGTGCGGGCCTTAGAATAATTTCCTTTTTTTTCGGAGTTTTGCTCGTTTAGCCACCATGGTTCTCTGGAGTCCCGAGATCATTCAAACGAAAGACAGTCTCGGGTACAATTCCTATTATTGTTCATATCTAAGGCGACCTGACAGGCGAACACCCGAACATGGGGATCATAGGAAAGAGTTTCCAAGGCCAACTTTCCATTAACCTCGGTATTGTTTGATAATCTATTAACTGCTTTTCACCAATTAATTGGAACACTTCTAAAGAATAGAACTGTGGGTGTTTAAAAGAAGTTGTTTATTATGGGAGCGCAAATTTATGTGCTAAATCGCATCTGCTAAGGTTATGAAAGTGTTTGGATGAGTAAATCGCATGTCAATTTGACCTTTGCAGGCTTTGTAGAATGCGAAACCGCCGAAACGTCAGCTATTGTATCCTAATAAGTTCCATAATACCCACTTTGTCTTTGCTTATCGAAGAAGAACCGACGAAAGTGTTGACTTTTACCTACTGCCTACCATTTTCTCATGGCTGGGTATTATGTGTAATTCAACTAGAATGGTGTTGAGATATTTGCAAAACTCCGGACCGCAGGTGTCTGCGGTGGGGAACGAACGCGTTATTACCTTTTCCGGGGGCTAACGCGTTCACCACCACACCGTGGGAGTCGTTGGTTTCGCCTCCTTCTCAGAGGAAAGTGTATTTACTATAATAACAGAAACATTAAGTTAGTAGAGATGGTAATGTATTCCGGACTTTTTTTCAAGAGGATTTTTCATTCAAGCATGCATAATGATTTATCACATACCGTAGCATGTCTTCTAAGCATTTTTCATCATTTAAAGTTTCCTCAAAAATACTTTTCTAAACCGACCATTATTAAACCTCGGCATGAATAATTCATATCTTTTAAGGTTGTTCAGTTTAAAAGTGCATTGCCGAGTGACGCTCTCATTCGAGCGATCTACTCCAGAAGTTTCGACTCGACACGAATACGATACATCATACATACTACATCGCGACAGCGAACGGTTGTGAACCATCTACTTGGATCAATAGGCTCTGAAGAAGGCCAAAACATCGGAAAGTTAGCTGAATAGAAGGTTTACAAGAACCTCGTGCGAGCCGAGCAATCTCCAAACGTGCTCGTGTAGAGTTTTTCTTTTGACAAATTACTTTTTATTTGTCAGTCTATTTTGGGAAAGGGTCGAAGCAGCTGCTTGAATGTCTAACTGTAGAATTTGAAACGATATTTTGCTTAATTTCACATCTCCTCGTAATTTGGTGACGTGGTGATCATTATGAGTCTGTTCTTTTTTAGCATCACAGGATTGTAATGCTGTAAAGTGGCTGAAAAAGATTTACGAAGATGAAATCGGGTTTTGAATTATACAGTAATCACATATCGTAAGTGCTGCCGATATGAGCATTATAAAACTGTACCGCACTAGTGTTAACATTGAGACGCTCGTGGCACAATGGTCGGAAGGGCCCTGCAGCACACACGTGGAATCGATCTCCGCGGCCTTGGTCCACTATGCCTTCAATCCTTCCGGAGTAGACAAATTGGTACCAGACTTGTCTGGGGGGATAGCATCACTAGCTCGATACACCCAATTTAATCGCTAGGCCACCGGAACGATGCTTAATGAAGTAGAATGCATTGCGCATTCCTCAGGGATTGATCAACGCCGAGAGCTTTGTCCTTTAGCTTGTATGCCTTTACTGCATAATTAGACCAATTAGACCAGCATTAAGTGGAATATCATTTCAAACTCGATAGCTAGACATTCATGCAGCTGTTTCGATCCATTTGCAATAGACCAACAAATAAAACAATATTTTCTCAGAAGAAAAACTTGCATTGAAACGACTTCAATGCCAGTAAGTCTCAAGTCTTTGCTGGAAAGAGATGTTCTGACCTGTAGGAATTTTGGTAAAAACTCATCAAACAAAATGCCGCATAACTTAATACAGTTTTATTCTTTGATATAAATTGTAAAATATAATTTTTTATGTGAAATGAGAAAATTATAGTTTATATTTTATGTCAAAAAATGAAGTGCGCTATTTTATGTGGACTTTGATGAGTTTTTAGCAGCATTCCTATAGATGAGAATATCTCTTTCCGACGAAGACCTTGAGATTTATTGCCATTAAAGTCGTATAAATGTAATTTTACTGTTTCAAAGGAATGGAACTGTAATGCCTTGAGTTTCTGCTGTAGTCGAAACTGGTGCTGGTCGAAATGGCAGATCCTGCTCGATTCTATAGCTTAAGAGCTTTTTTGTAGGAACGTTCATAGAGTTATGGGTTTTAAGCTTCTATGATGAAAAGCGAAGGTGTGGGGGCAGTCCAGTAATAGTTCGAACCCCGTCATCTTAAAAACTGCTTTATAATCGGTTTTTTAGTAATATAAATTTCTTGAGCTGATAATCTGATTGCATGGTTGGCTTATTAAAGCCAGTCATAATTTGTAACAAAGAATCACAAACCCATAGCAAATCATCGTAACAGTTATTTCTTCGCGAAATTAGTGTGGATAAGCCGCTTTTACCTTCATGGGCCAGTTCACGTTTGTAGGAAAAGGACTTCAATGTTATTCAACAGGAGTCCTGGACCGGTATATCGAGAACGAGATCGAGAAAGCTCTTTTTTCTCCCAAAACACTTTAGGCAGATGGCATGGTGCTTATTCCACCAAACTGT